GGAACTTTACTCATCGACAGAAACAAAACACCGAAAAAGTAGTGCTATTTAATGTAAGTTTTTTTGCACCAAAATTCGTAAATAAAAAGTAAAATCATGATTGAAACAACACATTTTCTTTGTCAACTGTATCAATTAATGTATGAATGAATCAGGATTTTAATTCAAATTCAATTTATAAAATTTGGTACAATTTGCCCGGTGTAATACAAATATTTAATTACCCGAAGATATCAAAATCATTACATATTTTGTTTTTGCGAAAAAATATAGAAGAAGTGAAAATTAATAAGTGAGGAGGAATATCATCTCTAAAGAAAACAAGCAATTTATTATGTTGACTCTTAAATATAATTTCTTAATTTCCTTGCTCAAAGCTTAATCAATCATAAATAATTAATGTACGATTCTCGTGTTCACTTCGATGGTTCTAATTAAGAAACAGCCCTCGAGACGAAATAGGAAATAAAAAGCGACAATGTTGAATAATATTTATGAAAATAGTAATTTTGATTATTTTATGCAATATTGACTCTTTAGGCCTAATGAACCGACTTGACATTTCGGTAACAGAACCTAACGTGCCGAAAGCGTGCTAGTCCATCCATAGGAAAGGCCTGTGCCTCAGCAGTCGGGACCAGTGTTGCCAGATCTGGAGATCCAGGATCTGTATAGAGGACCGTAAAAATCTGTATGAAATCTGTATTTAGTAAATTTATGCAAAACTGTATAAATCTGTACGTGTCGTTTGTATTCTGTATGAATTATTATCTGTATTATGCTACAATTTGTAAAATTTGATTTAAAGAAAAACAAATGAAATTAGTGAATAATTAATGATAAAAGAATTGCGTCAGTAACTTTGTAATCTTTGTAAAAGCGAACAACAAGACATAAATCTGTGCTTTAGTCCTCTAAAAATGAAATCAGCCAAGTGCTGAAGCCCGATTCTTCCATCCATGCCCGATTAAAGTGCTGCAGTATCCGTGGTTTCTTCGGTGTACTAGCCATAGCTCCGCATAAAGGACACTTCGTTGAAAGAAGCGCGTAATTAATTGAAACAAAACAAACGAATGAACACAGAACTCGCTGAACGAATGAGTATGAATTCATCTCATGAATCTGTAGTCTAAACACATTTTATGGGAAATCTCCGAACATAGTATCACAATCGTTAACATACGGGTAGTGTTCATCGATGTTGCCATTATGTTCTGCAAACTACTAATTCTGTAAAAAAATGTCGTAAATAACCAAAATCTGTATAAAATTAACTCTTTATTTTTTATCGGTATGGCATGTTAAGAATCTGTATATCTGGCAACATTGGTCGGGACATTAATAAGCCGTTGATAATTCATTTCCTTTTCCCTCCTTCGTTTATTAGAATTTAAAATGCTTTGTTTCAAAATTTTTGGAATTATATATCTTTAAAAGTGTTGATGGGATGAAAGTTCTAGCTAACAACCGTAGACGGAAACCTTTATTCCCAGCAGTTCCATGTAGCTATTTCCACATGGAACTATTGCTATTCACTAGTTCCGTGTATCGAAGGTAGTACTAATATTAGTAGTAAATATATTTTCATAATTACAAAAAAATATTTAAAAAAGGAGTAAAGCAGAAAATGGAATCAGGTGGGTGTGTGCGCGCAAATGTAAATGAATGTAGGTTAATTGCAGGAAAAACTATTTATTTTAATGAGACGCAATTAGGGGCGACACGTCTCGTTCAACCACAGAATTAAGTTCCTAAAGCAACAAACTAAACATAACTACGTCTGTATACATAAATAAATAGTAGATTGTTAAGAGTTTACGATGTTCGGAAATATTAATCAGTGTTTACTGTTTGTTGTGTTGGCACATATTAATATAGTTTCGCTTTAGTTTTCTCATTTTTTTTTTTATTGTTTACTTCGCAACAACGAACATAATTAGTAAAAACAAACTCATATTTTACCGTAGAATTCGTCGGTGTGATTTAAAATTAATTTTTGAAATTCGTGTTCTAATTTGAAATCACATCGCGGTTTCTGAGGTGAAAAAGTGAGTCTGTTCATACATAATAGCACTGCAGGTTACGATTTGACAATGAGCCAAAAATATTTCAGATATTCTTGCAATTTTGATATTTCCCTGAATGATTTTCGTCTAATAAAAAAAAGCCGCTGAATTAACATCATGTAGATTTCTTTATAAAAATTTGCACGTTCACAAGTAACTGCTTCGGTCAAACTTTATTTCAGCCACTGACGTGGCTTTTCTATATCACAGACGGTTGCTTTACCGTTTTTTGAGTCACCAAGTAGGTATTTTTAAAGAATGGTAAATAATCCTGTAGCAAAGCTACGCTCACGCTTGAAATCTTTCACCACTTAGAATTGATTGTAGTAGTAGGTAGGTACCTACTTGATACTTTTATTCCGTACGCGTATAGCGTGCCTGGGGGCTTCGTTACTGCGCGGATCATCCCTTGCCCCCGTTGGAGCGAAGCCTTCTATTGTTCTACACCAAACTCAAAGCTGACGGGTAACTTGGTATTGGTGGGTAAAGAATTCTACCTCCTTGTTTAGTTTTTTATTTCGAAAACATTTATACATAATAATAACGACGAGTTATATTAAACTTCAGAAAGGAAGAAAAGTCTGTTTATTTTATCTCGTATAATAGACACCCGTTCGGCATATTTGTTTAGAAGTCAGTGCAACTCATTGACTTCTAAGGAAACCCTTAGTGGTGTAGTGTTTTTAATGTTGAAACTGCAGAGTGGTTCAATTAAAAAACCAATAAGATTATTCAAAAATACATACTACTTTATTATTATTTCGGAATCTGATACTGCATGTGGTATATTATTGTATGTATAGTATTTATAAACTAAAATTATCGAGATTTCATTGTTTTATCCCACAGCTGGTTCAGCAAATTAAAAGCCTGCGCTGCGTTAAGCGGGAGCACGGAGCGGGCGTCCGCTCCGCGTGCAATATCATGTCATTTCATATGGCAGCGCTGCGACGGAAGACTCGCCTCACGCAGCGATGCTAAATTAAATAACATAAAACAAAGTCTACAACATTTGTAGTAGCTGCTATGCCAACCCAAGCAGTAAATGGCAACTCGGATCTATCAATATGTATGGCACCGATGATGACTTTTTATAAGCCAGGATAAGATCAAATTCTAAGTACCTGGTACTCTATCTGCATTATTTCTTTGATATCTCTTAAAATAACCAGACACGAATTGAGTACCTACTGTTTGTTATTGAGGATTTCCATTGTTTTCTCCGAAAGTACTGATCAGTTCCTCACCCAATTTATACGGGGTCCAATTTGCCAAAAAACTGATTGTAACAAAAAAATAATCATCAAAAGCGGTCCACGCATGACATGCGCACACAATAAAAAATATGTAATGACGAATTGAGAATCTTCTCCTTATTGAAATCGGTTAAAAAAAAGTAATGCTGTTCCTACAAAAACTGAAATACCCTCAATAATTATAATGTCCAATGGCGAAGAAATTTAATTTGTTTCTGAAACTACTTTTTCTGTTTCTGCAAATAAATTATCAGATTAATTGGAAATCCCACACTGAGAAATTAACCAAGAGAGTGAAAAATCATGCAAGCTCGAATCGTCAGCAACAACAAGTTATTTCCGAGAATCAAGCTTATGAATTACATTTTACCCCTTGAAACCAGTAGAAAGTCGAAAAGGTACCTTACCTAGATTTGAGCAAAATTTTTAATATTAATTCTCGCTTTCCGACTGAATCCGCCAAAGTAGCCGGTGCCAGTATAGATAATCTGAATTTTTGAACAGACGGCAACGGCGATTAATCTGAACAACCCGCAAGGGATTTCTCCATAATAAGCGATTTGCATTATACAGACGCGATTCAACTTCAAATTTAGGAGCGTTAATTTTACAACCGCTTTAGTTAAATGCCCCTTCCGATGGTCATTGATCATAGGTTACAAAAAGTTCTCATATTTACGAATTGAATAAACATATTATTCTTTGATTTTATGTACGTGTAATACTTATTTACTGTTGTAGTCATAAGTTAAGTAAGAAAGAAAATAAATAAAAAATATTCTGAGCAAACTTTAAAGTTGTTGATTGTTGTCTAAGTTTCAGAATATAATATAATATATATGATAGTAGAATTCATCATCATCAGCCCTAATAATAAAAGAAACTGGTCATGCATAAGTCTGCCTGGTTTTTGTCTAGTAAAACATTATCATTAGATTTATAAACCAAAACTATTTTAGAACATCAGAATCGTACCGAAATCTTTACTTTTAGAAGTAAAGGATAAGATATTTTCTTTGTGGTTTGTTTTATTAAATTCGGTTTGATGTTTGTTAAAAAACCTTATTAAGCTACAGTACAACATTTTATCTTTTTGTGTCACTCAACGGCTTCTTTCACACGCTCTGCACAACGGAAAAACATACAATATTGAATTTAATACAACAAAATAAGCAAGTTTATACTTAATTGGAATGTAAAGTTTGAAATTAAGTATGACTTGTGTAACTACATAGTAGTACCGATCCAGGCACGGTCCTTGAACGTAAAGTCAATATTTACCCCGTAAACTGTTTACAACCTAATTCAAACTTGATGTGTTGGCAGCAATATTTAATTGGAGCGAAGCGTGTGTTTTCTGCTATTGTTATAATAACGTTTACTTACCGATTTTAATTAATGAAATCTAACGCAACGACGTGATATTTAATTTTTAACGTACATAATTTTGTTATAAAATTAACGAGGAGATTGGAAAATTGTATTGCTGCAAATCAAATGTCACTTATTAATAAAAAAGAAAAGGTTTTTTATAAATACAACTTTAATGAATTTCTTCGATTTATAGTTAAAATACCTACAGATCTATACAGAATTATTTTGCTGTGTTTTTCTATTGTACTGTAATGCTTAATTTACATTGTTGAATATAATGTTTACTACTGAAGTTAATTAACGTTTACTGCTGTCTTTCCAAAAGACACTTCAGAAGGGTGAAAAATGAATAGGCTGATTTCATTACCTGAAACAGATAAATATGTAATAAACAACTGGAATTCACCATGCATACCCATTAGCATCATATTGGCTGATATGGCATCACTTTGATAGTTTTGCGATCCACCTGTGCTGATTTCTTTTACAGTAGTTTAGCCAGCAACAATCCTTAGTGTTGTACTATTGCTTCTTAAAAATCGTTACTTATTTGCTGTCATAGTTTTGCTATATTATAGTACTTTTTGCTATATTATAGCAGCCGCTGAGCCAGTCGGTAGTAATTTTACTTAGAATTTCATCAACACGTAGTATTTGACTCTTACCGATGTGAATGTGATCAAGGATAATTCGAACATTTTGAGGCAGGTAATGACGACAGGTTTGTTGGCGCGTTCCAGCATCAAACGAAGACTCCTCTTGTAGCTTTCTGGTCTGGAGATCCAGTCGCCACAGTACACAGAAAATATTAAATTTTCACTCTGAAAAAAATATTATAAGTACCAATAATACCAGTGCGGATTGGTGGATGGGTACTAATAACTGCAGCCGGGATCAACGGCTTATCGTGCCTTCAGAAGAACAGAGGAGCTCAAGATAATAAGTTTGTGGTCACCCATCCAATCAACCACGTTCGCAAACCGAACGCACTCACCACCTTCACCATCGAGCTCCTCAAAATACATATTTAGAATAATAATAATAACTTTATTGATTAAAAAACTGTGTACAATTTTGCAGTTGGATTTGCAATAATAACAAAGTCACGACAGTGTGCCCGCCCACAACGGGCATGCAATGGTAAAATTTATAACTTAAAAACTATCCTAATTTAAAAATTACATTTTAGAGCCTAAATTATTTTTAGTTTTACAAGTGTAATATTCATCAAGACTATAGAAAACATTATTTAATAACCAGCTTTTTAACTTAAATTTAAACAGTGGCAAATTGAGTGCTTTCATTTCTGCAGGCAAATGATTGAAGATCTTTATGCTAGTACTGAACGCGCTATTATAATACAAGTATTACGCGTATTCAGACGTAATATAGTTTTATTTTCAAAGTATTCTAGATTTTGTTTAATAAAAATTGTTGATTGTAATATTTAAATATTGGTCAAAGTGTAATGTCGTAACGTTTCATCTGAATACATATTATGTATTATACGTAAACAACGTTTTTGCAATAGGAAAATGGATTGAACTTTCACTGAATTACCCCAGAACATCACAAGCATAAGTCAACAGCGGGTAAACTTGTCCGAAATAGGCGGCTCTGGCTACACCTACTGATGTTGTTTCAGTAAGTATGGAGTCATAACAATGATTACATATTTTTTTGTGTATTTTTTGAATATGGTCTTTCCATTTTAAGTGAGAATCAATAGTGACGCCAAGAAAATTAATTTCATCAACTTCCGTTACTTTTGTATTGTTTTGTGAAATTTGTAATTTATAAGACAATGTTGTGTAATTTCTGAATTGAATAAAATTTGTTTTAGTTAAATTTACACTTAGATTTACAGATTTGATCCAGCTTACCATTGTTTCCAGTGTTTTATTAATATGATTTTCAAAAAGAGTTTTATTATTATATATGTCTGGAATGAAAATTGTTGCATCATCAGCAAACATAAGGCATATATTGTTAATAAAGTCTGGTAATTCATTTACATAAACTAAAAATAGGAATGGCCCAACAATACTTCCTTGGGGTAAAGCAACTTTTACCTTTTTTGTTTCAGATTTTACTTCCTCAAATATTTTACTTCTTTTGTTATATGAATCAACCGGTGTAAACTGTTCTCTTTCTTTCAAATAACTTTCTATTAGTTTTAGGGCCAGGCCACGCACGCCTAAGTTCTCCAATTTACGAAACAAGGTATCATGACAAACGCAATCAAATGCCGTGGACATATCTAGGAATAGTCCAATACACGAAATTTTATTATTTAATGATTCCCATACTTCTTTCAGGACTTTGTAAATAGCAACTGTAGTTGATTTCTTTTTTTGAGAACCAAATTGACATTTGTCAAGCAGATTATATATGTTTAGGAATTACAACCGGCGCGAATATATGACTTTTTCAAATAATTTCTAGAAGCAAGATAATTAAATTTTTATTACGTCAATTTCTTTCAGTCCACAGCACTGACTTAAATTCACAATAGCATTATTAAATAATGCTTTACTGAGATTATTTATTTATTTATTGTAGTAACCAACGTCTGCTTACAGTTAAACTTAGCCTAAATTATATTATACTCGCGGAAAGTGACTGCAACAGACAATTACAGGTTCGCTCCGCATGCGTTAGTTAGAGTGACAACAATTTAATTTAACCAACAAATTCAATTATTAAATCACTTTAAATAATAACGACTGGTTGCACTCCGGGAGTGCCGGCAGAAGTGAAAACTTTAATATTAACGTTGTGCATTTTTGATATTTTGGAACAGTTAGGGAATAATTTTGCACCAATTGCTTTAATTATCAATAACATTTTACATATGTTACCGGCTAAACCCGATTTCAGGACAAACTAATTTTGCCTAGGCTAAACTAAATCTTCCTATACGCGATAGGATTAATTAGTATAGCCTAGTCCAAACTAATTTGTCCTAAGCCGGACAGGATAAACCAGTTTAGCCTAGGCCAAACTAGTTGATCCTGATATAAATACGCACACTCTAGGATAACGACCAGGTCACGTGTCTTGACGTGGGTTTAAATTTTTTAACTCATTACAAAAAAAGTGTACAACGCCGCTAAAGAAGTTTTGACTTCAAAAATTTTCTGATATAGTTCAAATCGCTTTCGAACTTATTAACTTTATAAATATTTATGCTTAATTGTTTTGAGTGATCTCTCATATTACTGAATATTCTTTACTTATTATTTACCTTTTCTGTAAGTTCAGCTCCCAAGTAAGCTGGATAAAATATCTCTACCGTCATACCTGCAATGTAACATACCAGAATCACAAAATCCTCGTGTGTCATAGGCTGAAATGCAAAGAAGAATACCAATAGAACCTAAACATTCGAGTGGTAAAAATAAAAATGTATTATCATTTTTATTTGAATAAATAAAATATTAAAGCCGTACGTTGTTTCTTCTATAGTTAACTTCAATTTTGTGCTTCGTTCTTTTAAATAACTTTTACTTATGTTTTTGTCTTTTTATGTATTTAATTGCTAGATAATTAAATCTAAAGAAAAGTTTACTAGAAAAAAACACCACGCGGACCAGGCAGCCGACGGGTAATTTTTTTCTAGTAAACTTTTCTTTAACTTTAACATAGTCAAAAAACAAAGTTAACTATATTTTTAAATGTATTGACCAGAACTAAGATTATAGTATTACAAATAAGAAATGAAGATAGTTACAATTAAAAATGAGCTTAATGATATACAAATTGTGATCGCCCCAGTGCTATACTGCGCAAATAATGATAAGCCTGTAGTTTCCTGTACTTCTTTACAGTACCTGAAATATTTATTTTTTATCAGTGATTAATATTTTTATGTAATTAAAAAGTATAATATTAAATAACAAATTTACCTTAAAATTACATCATAATGCCTCAAACATTTATTAAGTCTATCCTTAATTATTATCTCCTCCTCTTTTGGGTCATAATGTTCTTCAGATGGTCTTAGCGCCAAATGGGACATTTTCCAATTAAGTACTTCAAATTGAGTTGTAGCCATCATAATCAAACCGCATATCAAAGTGTCTGAGGCAGCATTGGACAATACAACTAACACAAGACAACAATATTGGTATAAGAATAAATACATTGAATATTTCTCGCGAACATTGTCGTTCAGGAAATAATATTGAAATAAAGGCAGTTTCAATTGCGCTCCTGTCGTTGTCCAGTATTTGATAACTGGTACAAAAAATATGCTAACTCCCGTACAAAAGAAGAGTGTGCATGCTGTGCGATATTTTCGGAAAAAAATATGACTCTTTTGGATAATTTGCTGTGATGCTTCGTCTTCGGCCAGAAATTCTTTCGAGTCAAGTATTTCAAACACCTCCAAGATACTGTTTCGTTTGAAGAGCACCATAAATATTTTGAACAAGCTAGCTAGCTCAGAAAAGTAGATCAGGCTTTGACTTACGATTAAACCTACATTGATTGGTGTGAAAAATAAATCCAATGTGAAAGAAATAAAAAAAACGAAGTTAAATAGAGTGAGTAATACTACACGATAACACTGGTAAATTTTATTGGACTCCTCATCACGCCACAAACCAATAAATTTTAGTAACCTTATATTCTCTTTAAATATTTCTGATTGACGATTTGGCGTCATTTTTGCAAATAATTGCCCAGATAGTACGCAAACTTATATATACTGAGTGTCGTAGTGTGTTAACCGTTAATTTTACATGACATAAAGATACGTTCATCTTTACCAAGTGTATGATTGTCCACTTAAGTGCTATTAAGTATTTTAAAAATGTCTTTGTAATTCTGATAAAAAGGCTAACAGTCAATTTTAATAATGTGACCTACTATTGAGTCGAGTGTAAATTGTATTCTTTTCGAGTAGCTATCAGGCTTTAAGAATTCAACACCTAAAGGGAACCCTATTAATATTCCTTTGTCCGTTAAACTAATATACAATATTTAAAGAAGCACAGTTATAAGTGTAATATATAATAAGGTGCCTATGCTTTGATTGTAATTAAATGTAAATTACTCTTTAATTTATTTCGACGTATGTACATAACAGTAATATAGTTAAATAACAATGGACCTTATTCCAGCATAGAGAATAAAAGCTGCAGCGAAAAGCTTGTTTTTTGAAAAGAAGATATAAACTTACATTTGCTTTAAATCTGTTGTCTTTGTGTAATGGAAAGAAAATTAATAATTACATAAATGTAAGAATTAATTCAAGTGAGCGTTTTCTAACGGCTAAATACTGAAGTCCTCCGTTGCTAATCATGGCTCCCGCAGCCGCCTCTGGGTCAGCAGATATTTTAGTTAAGTTTGCATCCAAAGCACGTATTTTAAATTAAATAGCGTTATGTGAATTGTTAGTTAACTGAGAATCTTTAAAATCGTGCAAATAAAAATAGTGCGAACAGTAAACGTACTACACAACCCCATAAAAATATTGGTCGATTACAAAATATCCTAAAACGGCGCAAATTTGTAAAGAACGTACCTTTTGTGGAATTATATTCCGTTTAAAGTACGTAGATCCTAAATGTAGTTTTATTTGAATCAATTTATGGCAATAAATATTGTTAAGGTGTCATAAAATTGCAAAATTAGTGTATTAACGTGGAGACATTCTTCAATAAAAATATTAAAGAAATTTTATTTATTCTTAGCAAAACCAACAGCGTTTTTCCGATACAAAATTTACAGCAGATACATTTCTAAAAGTATGGCCAATGACAGGTTTTCCTTAACTAAATTAAATTTATTAAATTTAAACAATAGGTGACTTATTTATTGGTACTTCTATCCCCAACAAGCGATCATCAAACATTTTTTTTTTATAACTAGGTAGGCAAATGACTCTACCCCACCTGATGTTAAGTGGTGATAAAGTCCAAACGCGAAGATAGCTGGTACAGCAGTTATAAACTGCTACACCAACCATCCTCACCTTGCATCCACAATCCATCCACTTTTAATCTTCTTTATTGCCATCGTTATGTAATCTTATAAAATACAGGTATAAATCTCTTAAATAAAATGTAATATTTATACACATACATACACACATATTATGTATATGTATATAATAATAAGTATGTAAGACTAATAAGGTAAAATGAATACTTGTCTTTGCTCCGTTAAAAGAAAAAGCGGATGTAAAACACAGTTGCGATGGCGGTCGAAAGCGAAATATCCTAAGTGTCGCCGCACACGGTCCACACGCCACAGTCACAATCGCCGCCACGAGAAGCTAGAAGTGGCTACTAAGGTGGCTAAACCGCGCAACAGCGGCCGACTAAGGTAATGAAGAGAGGGGTGGGGAATCGCGCGAGTGACGTGTGGCGGCGCATTCTTGTGGCCGGTGCGGGCCACAAGAAGCGAGCAACGACGATTTGTAGCGTGCGGCGGCCACAGGCGTACCGTTTATGGCGAGTCCATATAAAATGTATGACAACTACGAGAAAAATGCCGGTGGCTGCGTTTTGTGGTTGTGGTCGGTGGCCCGTGTGCGGCGACACTAAATCGTTGTCTGAATTAGCCAGTAAAGCTTCTAATGTAACTCAAATTCACACACAGCTTTGAACACGTCACGCTGTAGGGTATGTCTTCATTAAATAAAATAAAAACCTTTGTAGTCAATTTAATTACGTCCTTTAACTCTTGACACATTACAAACATATTACAAACATATTACTTTACATTGCATTTAATGTTAAATGATGTAAACGTAAAAGCTTGAGTATTACCATCACATTTCACGGTCTTGTACTTTCCGAACTAAAGCGAAAATAGAGTAGGTCATTTTGATTATCTGAAAAATAAACAACGTTTTTTTAATATGCCATCATGCCATTAAACATAAACTAGCAAACCAGTGAACCAAATGTTCACCAAAAAAAAATGAGAACTTCGGAGATTTCGTTTGAAATAGAAATCACGTGATTTCTCGAAAACCGGAAGTGCTATGTTACTCACATCCGGTTTGTAGTCTTATCAGACTATTCTTAACTTATAACTTAAACATTCTCTATACCTATCTCTTACGGTTTGGCCGCTGAAACAGCACCACGGACGGACGGACGGACTTGTCTATTAGATAAGAGATAAGTAAGGACGACCTCCGTGGCCGAGTGGTTTTTACGGTGGGGTTTTATGGTGTCGAAGACTCGAGAGGTCCCGGGTTCAAATCCCGGTGGGGGCAGATGTTTGTGTAATGAATACGAGCATTTGTACTCCAGTCATCATGCTTAATATGTATTTTCTGTAAAAATATACTTATGTATGTACAGTAAATGTATTTTGTCCGTTACCCTAGTATCCCATAACACAAGCCTTAATGTGCTTATTTTGGGGCTAGGCTAATTGGTGTGAGTGTTAGAAATATTTATTTATTGTTATTTAGTAAGATTTCCAATTGAGACTTTCTATAAGTTATGTATCATCATCAGCCTGTTTAAGTCCACAATGCTGGGTCAAAACACCAGCCACGCATCCAAAACATGTTAACATATAAAATCAACAGAATTAATGAAAAGACGGACTTATTCGTTTGTACTCTGAGCGAATTCACGAAACTAGCTGTGTGGATCATCATTTTCAATAAATTAGTTTTAGAATGTGTTTGTTAATATGTATTATAATGTATTCATGGATGTATCTATTGCCTTGGGTAAATACATGTAACGATAGATATAAGAATTTGATATAAATAAATAAATATATGAATTTGGTTTTGAATACATCACGCTGTTGAGAATGTCTTTATTAAACATGGACAGAATGGGGAAACGGAAACGGCCATGACCCACCACGTGAGGGTTATTCCTAAACGACCACATGCCTGAGCCATCCACTTGGGTGGTCAGTTAGAAACCGAAGATACTAACAGAGCACCTTACATATAATGTTTTCCTCTGTTCAGTGAACTGTATCTCCGAATAAGAAGTTCTTGGTTATCACGAGAAATACTTAAGAGGAATCCAGAAGGTTCAGAGTTATGTTTTCCTGGTACCTAACCTACATCAGATTTAACAAATTGTAGTACTTTTTTCTCCAACAAACATTAAATCTGGTTAACTGTAATATTGTTATTAAAATAACAAATATTAGATTCCTGTGGGATTCTTAAAACCCCTAACTTTAACGCAGGCGAAGTTGGGGATGTTAGCGAGTGCATAATATATTAATGTGAATTATCAAATTATCAGTATTGAAGAATTACAACCAGATGAACAAGATGAATGGCTGGAATTTTTTATTCCTGGCCACGCAGGTGGACAGCTCATTATGGTCGGTTAGTTATGGCCGCGATCAACACTTTAACATGCCTACCTTCTGCCATCACGGCGAAGCTCGAGATAATAAAGTTTTGCTAAAGTTTTAATCCAGGAATAATTACCCAATTCTAATCTAGGAAATGTACCTGTCCATTGCGAAAACCTTACTTCCACGATTGAAGACTTATAACTGCACTATCGAGCTCTTTATTTAAAAGACGAAATTTAAACATTTTAAAACTCCCAATCCTTACTAGTAGGCTAAATACCTAATGGGCCTACCACACGCAAGAGCTTCACCACAGTTTTGCCTGCGCAGGCCGGTTTGTACACGGAACACGGTGCGTGTAGTTGGTAAAACTGTATCACGCGCCAACCCCACAGCGCGGCCTGCGCACTTTTCGACTTGCTTGAAATTTTGCCTGCGCAAGCCCGGCCTGCGCGTACTTCTCTGTGCGTGTGGTTGGGCGTTCAGTGTTCAAGCCACAGTCGAGTGTACTTTGTGTCGAGGCTCGCTCGTCGTTTCATGAGGTCGTTCGTCATCGTCACTCAAAAATGACAGCTTTGCGTACGTACAATCGCGAATTCACGTCTGAATTAATTAGTTTATACAAATCTCTGCCTGCACTCTGGAAAATTAAATCTAAAGATTATTCCGTCCGAAATAAAAAGAACGACGCCTACGAAAGAATGATTAATAAAATGAAAGAGGTAAGAACATAATTTTTGCAACTAAATACCTATGCCTAATACCTACTACCTATTTATTTATACTGTATGACACAGCAATCAAAATGCAGGTAAACAATTAATGTATATTTAATAATTATGTAATGAAAAGTGACTTCATGAATCACCTCTGAAGTCATTTTTCAATTTGACGACTCTGTAAATAATAAAACAGGGAGAAAAAAATAGCCCTTGCTGAGTTTCTTGCCGGTTCTTCTCAGTACAAGGTCTCCCGCCGTAGATTTACGAACCGATGGCGTAGCTTCTAGACATTCATATGTGCTTGTAACAGCCTAAACTGAATAAATGATTTTGATTATGATTATGATTATGATACCTACTTGCACATATTATGTACATATCCTATCGTTTTTACATGTTTTTTGTAATAGCAAACACTTGAAAAATAGTAGCATAAGAAATGTTTCTTCATTAGAAAACATTGTTTCCACGCCAATGATTTCGATAAGAATGAGGCTTGCGCGTACTTAACTGTGCCGTGTGGTAACGCACAAAGTGTACAGTTTTTTCATGCGAGATGCTTGCGCAGGCCAAACTGTGGTGAAGCTTGTGCGTGTGGTAAGCACATAAGTGCAACATAAAATAAAAAACTGGTTACAAGAAGAAAATAAACAGGATACATCAAAATATAACTAATAGGCATAAAGTAGACTATTATCATTGGTCCCTGCTATTAGAAATAATATCGAATGACTGTGTTCGGCTGCAATCGATTGAAGTTAAGCAACTTTTGCAGTAGTCGGTCATTGGGTTGGGTGACAAAAAATTTACTATCCTGAGCTCCTCCAATCTTCAGAAGACACGTTAGGCAGTTGATTCCAGCTGCATCTGCAGTCGTTAGCACCCACAAATCCGCACAGGGCCCGCGTGGTGGATCATGGCCCAATCAGGCGCGCAAGCCTTTCCTATGAATTCCCATTCATAGGGATGGCTTGTGCCCCAGCAGTGGTTTTATTTTTTGAAGTGATAACCTCTTTAGTATCTTCTCTAGTTATTTTGTAACTGTCTGCAAGAGACAGATAGCCGAACCGTAATAGTCTCGGGATCGACACCAAATGATCGGTGGTTCAATCCTGAGCTCGGTTATTTTTTAAATTGTTGTGTTTTTCTTTCATTTAGCTATTATTTATTTTATATATTATATTTATATAGAAATACATATTAAACAACCATGGCTGGAGCACAAATGCTCGTATTCATTACACAAACATCTGCCTCCACCGGGATTCGAACCCGGGACCTCTTGAGTTGGCGACACCATGAAACCCGGCTTACAATCACTCGGCCGCGTATGTCGTCATTGTATAGGCTAATAAATATGATATGACATGTAAAAATATTAAAAGCTCGTTCATTGATAGCACAGAAACTTCAAAGTTACTCAGAATATTATAAGCTTACCGAAACAAATGTACTCAACGCAAGTGGGAACATTTTCAAGCCGGTAAATACTATTGGAGTATTAGCACGTTCAACAAACAGACGCAAGCTGCGTTTGTATGGCTCCGATTGGGGTATCCAATCGGTGCTATAGGCAGCATGCGCCAACTCTTGGCTCTGCAATCAAAACAATAAACAATCAAACGAAGATTGTCAGTTGTTCTTTACACAGCTAAAAGGATCCACAAATTAGAATATTCTGGAATGTTCAAGGCCACTTTATGTTATTTTAGTCTTTCTGAGTATTAAAAGATATTCACATGGTGTAACTATTTCTGAGGTACGGAGTTCAAATCCTAATTGAATAACATAGAATTTTTGCGTTTTACATTACGTATGCAGATTAGCATTTCGCAGTTTTATCACGACGTGTCATAAGTTGTATAATGATATGAATCCACCCTATTTTGTTTACTCGACGATGATCCTACTCTGCCGCAATACAATTTTGTTACTAAAGCGGAGGGTAACTGTCAGTCTTTGATGTTGTTACGCATACCTTACTATAAACTTGGTGTAAATATTGTAACACTGTTTAACAACTGGTTGTATTCTATGATGGTGAATAAATGTTATTATTAATATTAATATTATTATTGTTAATCTAGATTGGCTCGGTATTTGGTTTTTCTGAATTAACAGAAGTGCTTCGTGAAGTACTAACTTTGGTTACCATGAAATTTAGCCTAGTGGCATACTATGTACTACAACTGGCGGAATTATCGCTAATGATGACTTTATAAAAACGTGAGTTTGAAATTTTAAGAGAAACGGAAATATTATAAGGTGCTTTAGCTTGGAATCGGCATACCCAATAATTTAAACAATGTGTTTGTGCTGATGTTTTATATTAAATACTCTTTATAATTTTTATTTTTAAAGCATGTAACTGTTTGATGTTTATATCTAAAGAAAATATATCTAGAAAAAAATCCACGCGGACCAGGCAGCAGACGGGACTCGAACCCGCACCCTTCGCTATCCGGACGAATGCACTGACCAATTATGCTACCGCGGCCCTGACGGCCGCGTCGAAATTCTTCTAACCATTCGTAAGCTGCAAGGCAGCGTCATCTCTTTGCATTATAGGTAACCCATAATGTCAAATGAATACTTTTACAAGTATTAAACATTTGAAAGAAGAAATAGCAATTAAAGTTATAAATTTTATTCTTTAAGCATGTAACTGCTTGATGTTTAAATCTAAAGAAAATTTAACTAGAAAAAATTCCACGCGGACCAGGCAGCAGACGGGACTCGAACCCGCACCCTTCGCTATCCAGGCGAATGCACTGACCAATTATGCTACCGCGGCCCTGACGGCCGCGACGAAATTCTTCTAGCCATTCTTAAGCTGCAAGGCAGCGCCATCTTCACATTATAGGTAATCCACAATGTCAAGTGATTAAATACTCTTATTTTAAATCAAACGTCAAAATTGTGGACGCAATGGATTTCAGATTAATGTTGAAAAAAAAAGCTTTTCATTGAATACCTATTCCTAGGAATAGTATTTAATGTTATTCATGTGAGCATATATAGTAAGTAACTTTACGATATTGAAAAATTAGGTTTAACTATTTACTTGCCTCATAAGTCAGTTGTGTACCTAAATAAGCTGGTAAAAATATCTGCATTACCATGACGAACGAATACGATGCCATTATTATGAAGCTCTCTGTAGATGATACCTGTGGATAACAGAAATTAAATGATTGCATTAGCTACATCTTCAGGTACATAGTGGAGCTACAAATACAGTGTTGTATTGTGTTGTACAAATACATGGAGTTCATTCTGACTAGAAAGATTTCAAAAGCTTTAACTTAAAAACACTTGTAGCACTAGAAGTATCTTTAAGTCTCAACCAACCCCTGACTCTATTCCCCTTCTCCACATTCATTGCTTCAATTTACCATGAGCTTATGTACTCCTCGATCAATTAAATAATACTCATAAAGTTGTGTGAACCTTTCAAAGTGATTTAAGCCCTTTACTTCTACCCTTCCTTATATAGTGAGAGCTAGTTTAGTGCATATAATCACCATGTCTTGATGAATAACAAGTGGCTGGACCAGAATGCTTACTAGTTGAAAACGTAATACTTGAGTGTACCAGAGTTTTATAAGTCTTTAACAATTCCAACATACCATCAATAGAGCCACTACGCATATAATACAAGTACCCATGCAGAACTGTACGAACATTGTGAGGCTAATTATATCTTGAACGATGTTGCTGTATCTAGAAATAAAATACTTATAATCAATACAAAACAAAATAATATTCGTAAAGCTATGAAAAAACAAAGGTTGCGAGATTAATACATTCATACTGTTTTTAAAAATAGTTAAGTAATAAAAATACTTAAAAGACTTAAAACATAACAGTGACAATGTACACAATAATTTAGTTTAAATATTAAATAATTACTCTATAATGGACTCGTAGTGTCGAAGAATCTGGTTCAACTTTGAAATGTTTTCGCTAAAATTGATTTTCGCTTGATCTAGTTCCATAGTAGAAAATTTGTGTTTTAGCACCTTCAACTGGGCAATAGTCATTATGATCATACCAGCAATGAACGTGTCAATGTTAACATTATAAGTCATGTGACCGTAGATACCTAAATTTTGGTACAACGCCAAGACAAGGTAGTAATCGCTTCGCAGATCTTCACTCAAAAAGTAATATTGAGAAACAGGCAATTCCACGTTTTTGCGCCCTATTAAATATAATATTATAGGAACAAAACACTGCAGCACGAATGCAATATTAGATATGAACGCTATCACTTTCCATAAGGTTTTATATTTTGATATGTTTTTGTCAATAATGTTTATACCGACATGATCTTTACCCTCGAATTTATCGCAATCTAGATAATCGAAAACCTCTAAGATTCTGTCTCGTTTCTTAAGTATCATAATCACTTTAAAAGCGACAGCTATTTCGGTAAAGAAAAATATTCCTTCCTTGATTAGTATCACGATTTTCCTTGGCATAAATAAAAGGTTTAAAATTAGCAGAATCAGATAAATTACTAGCGTGAAAGTTAAATAAATAAAAGAATAATATTTGTAGTATTTCGAGGGCTCTCTCCCAGGCCATAATCCAAAGATTTTCCAAAAAAACATGTTAATATTAAAAGAAGACGATTGTCCGTTTGATACCATTTTTGAACAGAAAATGAACTGTGCCATAACTTTACTCTCGTATAATTCAGTGTTCTTAATCATTATTCCAAAGTGTCAACTGTTACGATGTATCAATCAAACGATAATTATATTAGCAGTATGTTATTAAAACAACACAGTTAAATGTAAAAAGGTTTAAACTGATCATTACATGAAAATGTACGTAGGTTAGTAATTAATAACTTTTACATCAAGGTTAAATGAATTACTTTCAATTAAAAGGCTATATTTTTACGGCACCAGAGCTATGCAGTCTTGAAGAAATTGACTAATATATTTTGAGCAATGTTATCTCGGCTGACGTGGAAACGCAGCCTTTACGCAGACGATTACTTCCCGGTTTTGAGCTGGGCTGGTGCCGGCTAAACTTGTTCAGGAGTACGGTTTGTATATTTGTTTCGACCCCAAACCGTCGCTAGCGCCGATGTCGTTAAAAAACCTCCATAGTATCCCATACCTTACTTACGACTGGACATAGATACGATTTAAATCAGTGCTTAGACCTGGGTAGCAATCGACCATTGGACTCAAAATTGATCTCATACCTTTATCGGGGAAAAAGTACAACAGCTAATTAAAACACCTTTTCATTGTTATCGATTCATAATAAACGGATACGGGAATTTTATAGTAGTCAGCTATAGGTATCTAAAAGGTCTATTTCATTATGCTCTCCTGGATGACATAACCTGGGTAATCACCTTTTGAAAAATTGCATTATGTGGAACGTATTTACATAAGGTGTAATACTTATAATTGATAGTTTTACTCTAAAGTTGAATTCCCTCAACTAAAATCCACATAATACTTTGTTTCGCATTTTACGGTCTAAATGTAATTTAAGTATGTATTGAAGCATATATTTAAATTTAAAAATTTGCGATGGTAATTTTTATTTTAAAGGTGATTTGAGGATACCAAAATAATTATTCTGTTGGAGTCGCCTATGAACACTCAGGTGATTATATTGGCGGGTGACCAATTGATACTAAAGAGTCGCCTGTGCTAACCCAGGTGATCATAGTGGAAAATACCATTAAACATTTCTACCATGTATTAAGTTGCAACACATCGTAGACGTAGTTTCAAGCATTCCCATTCGTAGCTTGATAGTTTGTATGCACAAAAATCCAACGGTTCCTATACTTCAGAGAAAAAATATTAGACACGCGTAATATAAAAGTAAGCTAAATCAACAAATTAATTTCATTATGGTACAAATTTGAAACTGGTTATGGATGTGGAATTCATAATCATCAGCCAAATATTGTCCCCACAGCACACACGACGCAGGCACATAACTGTAACTAGTGAACAACATTTTTAAAAACAAATGAATTCACAGACAAATCGCGTAACAAAAAAACAGTCGAATTGAGAACCTCCTCCTGTTTGCAATTGGTTGAAAATTATCTAATACTACTACTACTAGAATTTAGTTTCAACTTACGAAAGCCATAGTTATCATCTAAAACTCTCAAGAGAGAACATTTCCATTGCACAATAAACATTTTTACGTCGGCAAATTTGATCGTTTTGGTGAGCAAGATTTAATATTCCATTGAAATATTCTTCTGAATCTTCCGGCGGCGCTTCGCTCATCTAAGGCTATGAGACGTCCGGGTGAACCTCAATTATTATATTCTGCTCGGATGTTTGCGGAATGAGGTTCTGAATGAAGTGGTGCTCCTCATTTTAGTGTTATATCCTTACGGATTCTAGGAGAGGAGTAGATTAAAACAATGGACGTGTTTGCAATTTCTAAAGCGGTGCAAGCAACCCTTCGGGTGCGTTTTAATTGCAGGGGTGCGATAGGGGCGTGAAAACCTTCAGCCTTTAATTCTTGAAGGCTTGGGATATCGTGCACGGCTCATTTAATGCATACTGATATTATAATACTAATCTGTATGCCTCTCGAGATTCAATGGACGGATTTGTTTGATTGTTTTTAATTTTCTAATTTAATTTAGACAATTTTACGGCTGAAATAATCAGAATATTTACAATGAACGAATGTTGAATACAATAATTATGCAACGGATAGATTGCTGTTACAATGAAACCTTTTTTTTATATTGAACATAAAATAATACCAATTCATCACTGTAGGATGACTGTAGGTTACTAAAACACCCTAACTCTACAGGGCCTAACTTCAAAAACTCTATACCTCAGTCAAATATCTGGCTTGGCCGGTACGATACTACAAGAAAAAAAAATGTACAATGGATAATTTTTTTCACCTTACGGCCATGTGAATGTTTCGAAATGGCCAAGTCACATATTTTGACTAAGGCGTGGAGTTTGTTAAGTTAGGTCTTATCTCTTATATAGTAGGGTTGTGTAGGGTTAGCAGCTTGGCTCTACATGAGATCTGATAACTTTTTCAGTGCAAGTCATATGGTCTCGTCTTGGCAAACATTTTATATGAAAATGTGTTTGGTGGGATTCCATTGTTTCCTTTTATTTTTGAATAAAGAAGTATCGTTATTTTAATAATCGGTCAATCCGGAAAGAATAAGCATAAAGTTATATAATAATCACGACTTTCGTGAAATCAGAAAATACCGCACTAGTTTTCATAAATCAAAACAGTCTTACAGAGAGACAATTCAAGAGCACACCTTCCTGGAAAAATAATATAAAACCTGCATTGTACACCCTATATTAAATACTGCCTAGAGACAGTTTCTCCCCTTTCACTAGGCAGGTACAGCCGTTGTAAGAATGGCAATAGTAATAAAACAAAACAAGCCAGTTGACGCAGAAACATATCCCTCCAGGCAGATTTTCCGCACCAGCCCCGCTAATTATAAGGCGGCGCCCACGAAATCGCTCCCCTTCTTTCTTAATGGCAGTACTTTTCTTTTGATACTTTTCTATGACAGCTGTAAAAAAAACTTTTTTAAAAGACCTTGTATAACCGCAGTGCTTTCATTAAGACTGATGATTGTTTAATGCAGTAATGTTTAGGTTTAGTCTTTTTTAAGTAAGTATTTTAATTCATCTACTCAATATAGTTAATCTATGGTAATCTAAAGTACCTTTAATATTTCATCGTTCGTGCACTAAGGAATAATTGAAAGTAGAAAAAGATGTCTTATTTATTATTATTCGTATTTAAATTTAGCAAATTATAAAATCAAATAAGACTTCAAAGACAATACAGTAATAATCCATTAAGGATAGAGGCAAATTGACAAGCGCTTTTTGAATATTATTTAGTAACTAGATAGATATCACACCAGCTTGAAGAAGTGAAAAGTGGCCTTTTGCAATATTTTCTTTTCATCTCCGATTAGTAATTCTGTCAATGTCTAGGTAAAAATGTTTGCAAATGGCTTGCTGGAACGTTAACCGATGAATATAGCATGTTATCTCTTAGGCTATATACTTTTTCCAAAGGAAACGTGGTCACCTAATTCAGAAAACATAATGGACGACGTCAGGTAGCTCTAAACACAAACACCTTGGAGTTAACCAAGAGATACCCAAAACTTAACTATCTAAAGAAACTATTTACATAAGAAACTTAAACATGACCCCGGTATCAGGATGATATCGAACCATAATCATTGTTTGTTGATTTTTTTCTGGTATAAAATTATTTAGATACAAAAAACCAGCAGTTATTAAAAAAAACAGCAATATAATTTAATGGTATATAGCAATTTTAATATATTTTTAGAAGGTATATAGGCATTTGAAATAACTTTGTTTTAAAATGTACTAACATAGTTTTTAAGGTTTGATTGTTACTAACATTTCTATGAATCTAGTATCTGAAATAAAACATTATTATTATAATTTAAATTTCAGATCAATTGAAACCAACATAGATGCAAATAAGTATTTACTCGTATTCACTGTCTACTATGGTAGGTACTTCAACATAAACGATCTGCACTTTTGTCTGATAAAAACCTGGGCATAGTCCCACGGCGTGAACTGAAAAATCTAAAAGCGGAATTGCGAGAAGCCTCATTTACGTAACGCGCTGTCAAATTGGCAAAAATGGGGCTAGGCATGAAAGAGTGCATACCTTAATGATGGCTCCGGGCCAGTTGCGCTCATTGTGCTGTACGATGCCGGAAAATTACAGAAACTTGGAACTCCTAGGAGAGCTGCAGATGCAGCTTAATTTCACACACGCATTGTACGAGTTGGATCTTGTTAAAAATTTTAAACAGCTTCTTGGAAAAATTCTGTTGCTGTAACGCTGAGCTTAGGACTTACTACCTACATACGTACAAGTGCACTTACCCTATCGATGTGAAAATATTCTTCAGCTTATGAGAAAGGCGGAAACTTAAAAGTACTTACCTTAAAGATTTAACCTAATACTCTACTTAGTATAAAGGAAAATAAAACTAGTTTTAACGGGTTAATACACGAACTTTATTTATTTATTGACGTTTCGCAGCTTTTTCAGTACCCCTAGCCCCTAGCACGAACAATTATCGACTTCGAATAGTTTGCAAACCGAAATGTCAATGTCTAATTTTGTATGGAAACTTGAACAGCAGCGGCACAAAGTACGTAACGAGAACTAAAAATTAGTACACATTAGACAATGACATTTCGGACTCGCAAACGATACGAATTCGATATTGGTTCGTGCTAGGAGTACTGGTCTGCATCGTCAGAATAATGATTTTTTATTTACTTTGTCGAGCTACCTTCGAAAGACTTTTACCTGAAAAGACTGCGAAACGTCAATAAATAAATAAAGTTCGTGCATTAACCCGTTAAAACTAGTTTTATTTAATGAGTGATGTGCGTGAAAACCTAAGAACCAAATAGGTAGGAAAAGTTTAAAGGATTGTTATTAAATATGGTAACTACCCTTACATCCTACTAATATTAAAAATTTATGAATGTGAAATTTGTTATATTATATTGAATATATATTCTCGATTGCGCAGGTGAATGGCGCGTTCGATCTGCGATGGTGGTAGTTAAATAACTTTGAAAATAAATAAATAAATAATAATAAATATTTCCAATACTCACGCCAATTAGCCTAGTCCCAAAG